TGGTGATTTTTAAGTGTGTGTGCACCCATATGCAGGTAGAGGTCAGAAGAGGGTGTCAGATCCCCAGGAGCTGGATAAAGGCAGATGTGAGCCATCTGACAAGATCTACAAAAGTAGTAAGCTCTGTTAACTACTGGGCTGTCTTTCCACCCCATCCTTTATTTCTGCCGAGTCCTGCTCCTAAGAGGTGTCACCTGGATTTAAAGTTCAGGTAAACAACAGAGACTGTCAAGTCCAGTCCTTGTTATCTCATTCCCACTGCTGTCCCTGGAGTTGTCCCACTGTTATCCAAGGAGTTCACAATGCCCTATGTTCACACACACAGCCAACGACCTGCATGGCCATGCTATCTGAGCCACACAACTCTGGGTCTCCACCCTCCTCATCCTCCATTTCTCTGAATGTTGGCCCAGGACTCCGCATTTCCTCCTCCCAAGGTCCATTGGCCCTGGCTTCTCATTCCATTCTGGTTTGTGGAGGTTTTATTCCTTTGCCTTTGCTTCTTGTTTGTTTGTTTTTGTTCTCACTGTTTAGTAATCCCTGAGGTCCCACTGTTTAAGGTACAGCGACTCCTGCTGAGAAGAACCATTCATTATCTGGCCAGTTGCTGCTTCAGAGTGGCAGGGGCAGCTGAGCCTACACAGTCCTTTCAGGGGCCTCCTTTTGTCCTGGAGCCTCCGGTTAAAACCCTGCTTTTTCACCTCTTCTCTTGGCTACTTCCCTCCCATTCTCGACAGCAGCTACCCTGGCCCTGGTCATTTCTGACCACAAAACCCCATAAAATTGGGCTGAGTCACATAGTCATTACTAGAATGTCTGTGGCGCACTTTTCTGGGTACTCTTGCTGTTTCTCTAATTGGTAGCAGAATTTGCTTGACCTTAACAAAAAATCTCCTGGTCTGCCTTTCCTGGAGCCTCACTTCTCTCTCTCTCTCTCTCTCGATAGTCTTTTCTTCCCATTCCTTCTGTTTGCCGAATACTTGGGTTGTGGACTATTCAGACTGTTTATCATATACAGTTACTACAGTATATTCTAATCAGAATATACTAAACACCACTTCCCCTTAAACATGGGAATAACACTGCTGCTTTCACAGCCCCCTCTGGCCTACTCAGTCTTGGCTCCTCTTTAGAACTCAGGATACACTTGTCCTTTGAATTCTGACTTGCATCTTCCCAGCACACCCCCTTGCTGAAGAGTGAGTTAGCTCAGTTGTGGGCGGTTACACGATTTCTTTCTTACTAGCTCCTGTGACACTGCCCCTGCCTCCAGATTCCAGCATCCTGATGCTCTCATTTATTTTCAGTCCCATCATTTGCATTGTTTCCTAACTACAAGAATATTGCAGTCCATGTATTAAGAACTTGGAGATAATAGAGAATAAGTGTAACTAAAAATCACATGTAACCTCAACATTAATATACTAGCTTTGTCCCATTTATAGTGAACTGCACAAGCATACCACATACACACACACACACACGCACACACACACAGAGAGAGAGATGATAGAGAGAGAGATATGACAGAGAATATCTTTTTCTCCTTGCGTGAACACATATTGAATGTGCATTGAATTAAAGCAGTTTGACTTAGTGCTGGTGGTGGAGCATCAAAGTCAATGTGACTGTGATCCAGGCTGAAGCCAGATGTTACAGCTTTTGAATGACAGTCTGACATTGTAACAAGCATGAGTATTGCTACTATTTTTATTGTCACTTATTAGTGGTATTCAGATTGCAGGAATTGTGTTTCTGTGTAGGCAACAGTGGATTTGGCACTGCCCTGTTAGATGTATGATAAAGCTGTGTAATGTGTGTGTTTGCAGCTGAGTTTTATGAAGAAACAGGGCAAATTGGAGCTAATTTATAGTTCCCTAATAGATTCCACTTTTCTTTCTCTCTTTGTCTTTCAATAATTCCTGTGCTGATATTGATTCACTATAGGTGTGGCAGTGTGATTTTGGAGGTTTCACTCCTTGAGAATCTTTTTGCATAACAAACATGACAAATGATTATTAGCTTAGCCTAAAAAGACATGAAAAGTCCAAAAAAGACCTTTCCTTGAAAGATGCACTCTCTAAGCAAACAAACAAGGGAGTGAAATCCTGAAGATGGTTTATTATTAAGGTAGTTTACAAAGTAATCCCATATAGATATAGATGATACATTATACAATTCCTTTTTTCCTCTTTAATTATTAGGTATGGTTCTATGTATGTCTTTGCTTAGAAAGAACATGACAGTCTGTGATGGTAAGCAAGCTAATCCTTTCTCAATAGTTGTAGTGTTTATTTGATTTTCATTTTTAATTATTTTGTCTGCGTCTGTATATACATATGCATGTGAGTGCCCTTGAAGGTTCAGAAAAGTGCATCAGATGACCTGGAGCTGGAGTTACAGGTGGTTGTGAGTTGCCTTATGTGGGTGTTGGGAACTGAGCTCCTACTCTACAAAAGCAGCAAGTGCTCTTAGCTCCTGCCCCATTAGTATGATATATAAACGGGAGCATGTTTATGCCAAGCTGCACACGTGGAGGCATTTTCTCAATTCCAGTTCCTTCCTTCCAGAAGACTCTAGCTTGTGTCCAGTTGACAAAAAAATCTACACAGTACAGGTTCTAGTGTTCCCATCACTGCCCTCCCCCATGATGTAACTTTCTTCCACTAGTCTTCACCTCTTAAAGTTGTCACCATGCTCCAAATGCCACAGACTAGAGATCAGCTCAGAGCCTGTGACATGATGTCCTCAGAGGGCCAGCCTAGAGGGGAGGCATCCTAATGAGTTAGTAGAAAGAACTGATAGTAAGTAGAGTCATGGGAGTCTCAGTGAAGATAAATGACAGGAAGAAGGAAGTGTATTCCCCTCTTTTTAAACAAAAGAAAATAAAATCTAGAATCTTGTGTAGACCCTTTGGGCACATTCAACATTCAAACCAAGACTCAGAAGCTAAAGCTGCCCAGTAGGTTTTGGGCAGATAGAGAGGCTGAAACCTGGAGTTGGTGGATCCCCAACAAATACATTCACAAAAAACTTGCGTCCTGCGCTGTTACTTAACTCTAGCTCTTTCCTGTAAGATTATTCTTCTAATGGTGATATTTAATGGCAGAATGACTTTGTCTGTCTGACTATTCCATAATTTTCTCTTTGTGTCAGGCATGTTCAGTCATTTGGTTTCTGGTCAGCCTTAGAGTGTCTTTGGACAGTCTGTGTGCATCCAGTCACTCCTTCTGTTGCTTAGCCTTCATGTCATCATCGTGAGGGAACCCCCACAGTAGAGAACTGGTCTCTTGTGGTTCCTTTAGGTAGTCACCTCAGGTGTTTGAACATGGCTTCATTTCTTCCTTTTCCTCAAAGACCATATGTACTCCAGGCTGACAGACTCTGCCTCTCATGGGTTCTATCCGCATCTGATCTTTGCCTCACTTGAGGTTCTTGAACTTCTGAGTGTGCAGAAGCAGAGCTCTGAGTCCCTGGCTAGGTCTCCCACTAGTTACCCACACTTTGCTCTTTCTCCTCCTTCCTGGCCAGACTGCCTTGGCAAACCTCAGCATGGGTTGGAGCCTCTCTCGGTGACAATGTGTCCTGTGTACTTTAACCCATTCCCACCAGGTGTCTTAACCAGTCTTCTACATGGCCAGTAACCCCAGCTTTCCTCTGAAGGTCTCTGGCTGTGGGGAGGCCTGGTGTGCCTCAGGAGTAAGACCCTTTGTGTGCAGATGCCCCACTCTGCTCAGACCTGTGACCTGTGTTCAATACCTCTGACCGTCTTCCTGCGCCTCTGTTATTTGCTTTAAAAATGAAGTCCAAATGTGCAGAGAGTGAGAGACTTTGGATCACTTAGCCCTAAATGGATGTCTTCATCAAAACCCTTCCCTCAAGGCTCAGGTAGCTATGCAGAAGAGATGGTGGGAAAATTGTAAGAGCTGGAGAAAAGGAAACTGCCAGAGGAAACAGCATCTTCCAGGCACACTAGGGCTGATGCACATGGGGACTCACAGGGACTGTGACAGCACACACCAGTCCTTCACAGGTTTGAACCAGACAAAGTCCCACATTGAGAAGGGGAAATGGACACCAAGTGCCACCCCTAACCAAGAAGCCATTTGCAATTAATAACCACAGTTTTCTCCAGTCGAGTGCTACTAGCTGTATCAGCCACAGTCTATGACAGGTCTGTTACCCTAGAGTAGCTGACTGAGACATAACAGACTCCATTTGTGTGCGTGTGTGTGTGTATGTGTGTGTGTGTGTGTGTGTGTGTGTGTGCTTGTGTGTGAGTGCGTGCGTATTTTGTTTCATTTGGTACTTTTGTTTTATCATTGATTGTTTTGATTATATTTCTAATTTTAGTTTTGGAGAGAGAATGAACATTAAATGTGTGGATAGGGAGGTGGGGAGGATCTGAGGAGTTGGGGGAGGAGAAAAACATGATGAGAATATATTATATGAGACCAATTTTTTAAAAATAAAAACCATACAGCTTAGCACAGAGACTCTGGCCTTCAGCCAGAAGGAAGGAAATGAAGCTAGTTTATGGGCATGAACACTGATGACAGCCTGTATGCTGACACCAGTGTCTCACAGCACGGTGGGGCCTGGGGAGACAGGATCCACTGGTGCTACCATTGCTTATGGAGGAGGCAGGGCCTCTCCCCAGTCTACATGGTCCATTTCTTGTCCCCAAGGCTGAGACCTGCCCTCTAGAAGAGTCTTGGTATCCAGTCTTGGATGATTGCTGCCAGAGAGAGCAGGGCTTGGCTTCTCCCTCCTTTCCTGGTCCCAACCGTAAGCCCCTCCCATTTCTGCCACCTCCTGCCCTGTTGCAGAGCCCGGCTCATCCCGCCTGTGGGATGGGTATGTCTTACAGAGGGCCACACAGCTGGTTAAAGCCTGACAAAAAAACCTGGATGCAGAGTTCTGTGGTCCCTGTTAGCACTATTTTTCTGAGCATCGTGTGGCGAACATCCCACCCTGAGGAGGGCCTGTAGGAATCGTGCGCCCTGCCTTCTCTCTGGAAGAGGAAGGAACCCTCCCTCACCCACACTTCAAGAAGAATCCTTCCTAGTCTCTCCCTGAAATGTTTTAGTAACAAGCTGGATCTTTCCTTTATGTGTCGCAGCTGCACAAGACATCCAAGCATCCAGTTTTTCAGAACCTAAGCAGTTAATGCTGGAAATTTTGCTGCAAATAAATTGATCAGTATGCAAGACAGTTGTCACGGCTGAATCATGGTCCACGGTTAAGGTAAACAGATCTGTGATGACATTTTCTGAGCAGAATACAAAATGCAGTGCATTGGCTCCCAGGGGTTTCTGACATCTTTTTTCTACACGGGCAGCGTATTCTCCTAAGAAGGTGTTGTTCACAAGGAAGAAAGGTCTTTGTTCAACCCTCTGAGAAGGTAGGGCTGGATCATTTGATGTGCTATCTGTGACGAGTGTCGCTCTGGGAAAGATGGGTGGGGAGAGACATTTCCTTTGCTTAGCACCCTCCTTCCTCTTCTCCCACCCATGGAGAGAGCCTTTGGACTTTTTATTTATTTGAACAATCTTGACAATCCTCCATGTGTTCGTATTGTGAAAGTTTGCGTGTGGTTAGTTTTCTCCATGTGAAGATCCAGGGCTGTTTTCTCCTCTGTGGATTCCCATGAAACAGCCAGGAAGAGGGGAACAGAATGTCTTTATGCATTCCCTCCTCTTCCTTTCACCTTCATGCTCTCATTTTACCTTTTCTCGGGTTATTCCTGCCTGCTCTGTTTTATAGGAATCCAGCACAGCGTGGCTGGATCTGAAATGAGCACCGGTCCGTAGCTGGATGCTGAGCCATGGACCGGACATGCTGTATGTGTTGTGGTGAAGCCTGCTTCACTTAGTCTGGGCTGATGTTCTGATGTGTGCACAGCTTAGTGGCAGCTCTGTCTAGGAGCTAGCAAGCAGGCATTTATCCTCTCTGTAGTGGGGCACATTGTTTCCCAGGTGGGGGTGGGGTCAGGGGTGGAATCCTTGCAGATGGGGTTGAACTGCTGGAGGTGCTGATATTTCTGATTCCGGATTGGCCACCAGTTACACTGAGCAATAAGCACAAAGTCATTGCAAGAGAGTTACATTGGACATGGGGGAATAATTGAATCCATTGAGAATGGCATTTAGGGTCAAAGGATTCCAGAAAGTTCCAGCAACTGAAAGTGAACCAGAAGATGTGCCCTTCACAGGTGGCTGGCATGGGGTGTATTTGGGCATTGTGGAGCAATCAAAGGACTGCATTCAGGAATGAACTTCTGCCGTGCTTCTGTAGTCCGTGGATAGGTTATCCCAAGGGTAGCCTCCTTCAGGACGCCTCCTGGAACCTTCCCTGGCATCCCAGGAGACAGGGCTTTCTCTCTCAGTGCCAGCAGCCTTCAGTGTGAAATGCCCAGCCAGCTTCATGCTCGGTCTCGACTGGGCCTTTAAAAATCTCTGACTGCCGTTTGGCTTCTAGCACAGCCTGTGGCTCAAAATAGGCTTTGCAAATGGTGCTTATGATCCAGACAGACAGCCACCCCAGCAAAGGAAGGGTACCTGGTTAATCCGGTTTCTTAGCTAGAGTATGGGTGGAGAAACTGAATGCAGGGCCTGCGTCCTCTGGGTTGACAGACACAAGAGGCTATGGATGCACTTGTCCTTTGCAACAGGTCCCAACACAGAGCTCCTGTGACAGAGTACGTGTAAACTTCCAGCCATCCCAGCCGTGGTTTTCTTCCTTCTCCAAAATTTTCTGCCCATCCAGTGTAGGAGGATCAGGTGACCAAGGTTTTTTTGGGCTTTCCCTTTTTGAGCCTTCAGGCTGACACACCAGTATTTTGAGACAGTGACATCATCTTTCCTCTTTGGGGCCCTGTCATCCCAGCCCTGGTCTCTCACCTAAACTGCTGTGACCTTCATTCTCTCTCAGGAAGCATACAGGTAGAGTGGGACCGTGTCTACACTCAGGAGGGAGGGGCCGGTTGGAAACAGGTCTTCTACTGGAGCAGAATCTAAATGACCAGGGAGTTAACTGGATGAAGAGGAGGATGAGAGTTTTTTCTCACCAAGGACGTAGCGTGTGCAATGGTCCTGGGGTGGGAGGAAATGGTCCTGGTGTGGTACAAGGATGGACAGGGCTATGTGACTGGAGCCAGAATGATGGGCAGCAGAGGTGGCAGCATCCTGACCATGCAGGAACAAGTTGGTCACGGCAAGGACTCCACACAGTGGTGAGAATAAAGAGAAGTTGAGAATGAGAATGGACTGCTTGGCCTTCCCCCGTCCTGGGCACAGATAAGAGGACCAGGGTAGAGCAGAAGGCTGGGGTGTTACCACCCAGGGGGTAGCAGGGTAGCAGGCTTGGGGATCTGCAGAGGTGATGGAGGAGGTCCCTGAGGGGAATCGTGGATAAAAGAGGCTTTCCGGGTTGCCCTGGAGTCCTGGTGAAGAGCAGCAGCTGGCAAGGCACATGGCAGAAGGGCCAAAAAGTGGTGGCCAGGGATGCAGCTCCTGAGCAACAGAAGAGATGCCTGAGTAAGCTGGGGAACGGATCTCATAGAGAGGGTAGGAACAGGGGAGCCGCGCTTGGCCACCCCCAGCTTTGGCCCCTCTATGCATAACCCCAGACCTCTTGGCGGGGTCGTGAGACCAAGTCTGAGAAGAAGGGCAGGTGAGTGAGAGGAGCACAGAGGCAGCCGTATGTCGGTGCTTGGCCCCTGCTTTAAACTTTCCCTCGCACAGTGGAAAGCCCTGTGTCTGCTTTAAGGTGGTTTGCATTTGACATGTGGTGTTGCTGGAATGCATTTGAGTTTCTGCGCCGCACCAGACTTCCTCCCTCCTTGCTGACTGTGAAAAACCCCCATCTGTATTTGTGAGGCTCATGTCCTTCTTGCTGAAGCCTGGCCAGGCGCTGCTGATCTGCCTCTAGGGAATGGGAGTTGTGAGCAGGATGCACCCAGACTTCCTGGGTTCCCACACCAGCATGCTGCAACCCTTTGAAGGAAGCATGGAGCTGTAGGAAACTGCCAAGCCAGTGGCCATGTCCCTGCCCTGCCCAGGAATGAGAGCAGGTACCATGTTATTGTGACCATGCCAGTGTATGGTGTGTGTGTGTGTGTGTGTGTGTGTGTGTGTGTGTGTGTGTACATCTCCCGTTAGTACCTTCCTTGATCCCACAGCTAGTTGTTTGCATGCACATTTCATCTGTATGGTTTGTATGGTGTGTGTAAGTGTGGTATGCATGCATGCTTAAGTGTGTGAAGTCTGGAGAGGAGGTGACAAGAGTGGTGGGGACACAGGAAATGGAGGCTCACTGCTTCACACAGCTCCACTGGAGGAATACGGTACCTGGCCTGCTGACCCGCCCTCAGATGTGGCCAGGTGCCCCCTGGCTCAAAGGTCAAGCATAAAAGGATGGCACCAGCTCTACTCAGGAAGAAGGCTATCTCAGGTAGCCCAAGCTGGTACTGTCCCCATTTTCATGCTTTGGTGACAGCAGTTCCAGGTGATCACTTTGGGAGGAACAAGGGTCCCAGAATGTCCAGGTGAGCACTTTGGGAGGAACAAGGGTCCCAGAATGTCACCTTCTCTGCACATGTGTGAGACAGGACCAGAAAGACAAAAATCACAGAAGTGCAGGGAAGAACCTCATGGTAAGATGGTTGTGTGTGCTAGCACCCACGCATGTATTTAACTGAATGAGCGTGCTTCCTCTGTGCCAGGAGGCACATCTGAGTGATGTGCACACATGTTAGTGTCTGTCTCTGATCCTCATACCTTCAGACATGTGCTCCCATTTTACAGATAGGAAACCAAGGTGCAGACAAGAGATTTGCTCAAAGGTGTGTGTGTGTGTGTGTGTGTGTGTGTGTGCACGCGCACATATGCCTAAGATAGACACACATACACAGAGAGAGCTCTGCTGAAAGATACTCTTTTCCTGGGGAAAAATAATACAAGAGAAGGGGAATTTCTTCTGGTAGACATCATACATGCTTTTCTGTCCTCATGGCAACTCTGGGATGTAGGTATTCGCCTGACTTTATAGACGAAGCTTGGTGAGCTTCCCATAACCCCGCAGCTCAGTTGAGTGACCCCAAACCATGGCATTTCCTGTATGCCACACGACTTTGGGACTGGGACTTACAGCCTCAGTATCAGTTCATCTCTTAGGGTAGCTGGGCCAGGGTCAGCCAGGGCACCCTATTTCTGCCTGCGCACCGTGAGGACGTAGTTTGTGGTTAGAATGTGTGCAGGCTCTGCCCCTCTCTCCCTCTGTGACTAGGCACCCACCTCTCCCTGCTGAGTTCTCCAGTCTGTGGCAAGGGATGCCTTTGTATCCACTTCATGGGTGGATGGAAGTCAAGCTCATGACAGGAAGGTGGCAGGGTTCCAGGAAGACAGTACCCAGTATAAATCTTGAGCAAAACCCTGTCATTGTTACTGAGCCAATCTGTTGGTCACTGGGCATGCCTGTTGGAAAGGGCATTGACAAGGTTTTAACATTTGCTATTGTGTTTGTGATACTCAATTAACACATCATTGAAGTAATATTAAAATAGCAGGTGGTGTTCAGGAATGGCTCGGTTGGTAAAGTGCTTTCTATACAAGCATGAGGACCTGAGTTCAGATCCCCAGAACTACACATGGAAAAGGCCAGGCATGGGGGTGCATGTCTGTAGTCCCAGCACTAGGGAGACAGAGACAGGGGGAATCCCTGGGTCTCACTGCCAGCAGCTTAGCTGAATCAGTGAGCTCCAGTTTCAGTGAGACACTGTTTCAAATATTCAAGTGGCAACCAGGTGGTGGTGACCTTTAATCCCAGCACTCCAGAGGCAGAGGCAGGCAAGTCTCTGAGTTCAAGGCCAACCTGGTCTACAAAGTAAGTTCCAGGACATCTAGGACTGTAAAGACAAACCCTGTCTCCAAAAACCAAATAAACAAACAAAAATGCAGGTGACAAACAATTGAGGATGACACCCAACCAGTGTAAAACTGACTTCGGCACACATATGCATACATGTACAAACATTTATGTACATACATACATACACACACACACCACACACACACACCACTGCACACCACACACCTCCTCAGTCCCCAGACTGGCTTGTGGGGCCTGGATACTTCAATGTCTGTATTCACGCTGCTACATTGCCTTCCCAGAAGACTGTCTTCATGGGCCCCAGTTACAGTTACAGGGCTGCTCTGTTCATCTTACTGGCTACAAAGGGTGATTTCTTCTGACTCAATGTGATCACCAGGGTACCTTTCCCCTTACTTGAGTGTGAAATTCAGAAACCCTGAAGCAAATCAACACTGCTCCATAGGGTGATTCTGCTTGTCAGTGTTTGGGCAGCTTGGCTGTATTTGGTACCAGGTCATGGTTTAGACCTAGCCAGGAACACTTCTGCAGCATCTTCTAGAAGAATCTGGCAGTCTTTGCCTGGTTGTACATCAGTTAAAGGGGACAGCTGCCAGTTTGGAAAAGCAGGCAGTTACCTTTCCAGAAGAGGTACCAGCAGACCACATGGGTGTACACAGGCAGAGGAAAGAGACCTGTTTTCTATTTTGCTGGAATCTATTAAAGATATCTCCTAAACCATCAACATTGGAAACATTTAACCTTTAACATGAATGCAAGTCTCAAAGATTACATCTTCCATTTGGTTTATTTGATATCTAGAAGTGTATTTTGGTTACTAAGATGGCATTGGATTAAAATGGAATATCTCTTCCTTAAGTAATTGTGAAAAGTAGACACGGGACAGATTTCCTCTCATCACAAAGAATGCCTGTCTCACACCAGTTCCTCATCCCAATTAAATCCCAGCACCAAGCGAAGCCGTTTACCAGCACTGTGTTCATAACTTTAGTTATGCTGTCTGAATATTTATTTTCCCAGACATTGTGTTAGGCTTGCTGCATACATTATTCTTAATTTTAAAATATAACTTTATAAGATAGGTGTTTTGAGCATGTCATAGATGGCACTGTGACCAATAGTAACCCAGTCATTCTGGTGGCAAGCACCTGTTTGAGCGGCTTTTAGAACTGTTGGACTGCAGATCAGCTTGGTCTTCCTCTTAGCCCTCCTTAGGTCATTGTTACTGAAATGTATTCATAGGGAGGAGCTAGAGAGCAGAGAGAGAGAGAGACAGAGAGAGACAGAGAGAGAGACAGAGAGAGAGAGAGAGAGAGAGAGAGAGAGAGAGAGAGAGAGAGAGAGAGAGAGAGAGATGCTCTTAGGGTGATGGCAGGATGGACATTCATTGGTCAACGGGACACTTGCGCAAAGCCATCTCATGGTCTTTGCCTTGTGTCCCTTATCTGTCTAAAGACAGGAATGGAACTTCTAAATTACCTCCCCCATTTTCTTGCCAGCCAGGGTTTGGGGAGCTTTTACTTTCTGCAAGTTGGATCACAATTGGCAATTTTGTTTTCCTAAAATAAACTTCAATGGTTATTATCTTTTTTGCTATACCAGGTATGCCTTTCAGTTGCCATACCCCTCCTACTCTGAGCTGGAAGTGACTGGCCCAGAGAAGCAATGAACCTTTGGAGGTTTGCAGATGATGGTCAAGATCAATTCCACTCAGATGTTCCCTTTACTCACAGGCATTGAGGTGGTTGGCTTCAAAATGCTAAAACTAATGTTGCATGGAGCACTAGCACAGCAGGCAATAAATGTTGTTTCCAGAACCCTAGACATTTATTATCTACTGGATTAATCCAAGTTAAAGTAACTTCTTTACATGGGATTTCTCAGTATGTGTGCAATGGGCATTGGCATTTTTTAATATAGGAGATGGAAGCTCAGCTTTTCCTGGTGTGTTTCCTCTGGAGCCCTTGCCCCTGGAAAATGGTAAGGGATGACTACTCTGGAGAACTTGCTTTAGAATGTTATGACCTGTAGGTTCACCTTGTCTACCACAGACAGCCCTGACTTCCAGCTTGAGACACAATAGAACCTGGGGCTTTCAGCTGCTATTTCAGAGAGACATAGCATACCTTATCAGAAGCAAGTTGTGATGAACCTGTCAGGGCGTCGCTGTAACTGCTACATCACAGTCACAAACCCAGGAACTGCCCAAGTGAGGGATTATTTTCCTATACTTCCCAATGTGTGCACTCAAGACCACCACAGTACTCAAAACTTTGTGAATATTTAAGATTGTTATCAGTATCATCAGATTTCAAAGGTTCAGAGTGGGATGGCTCAAATGTGTGTGTGTGTGTGTTTTGCCTGTAGGATAGCTGTCACATGGCTTCCTAGTTTCTATAGTGATAGCCCCAGGAAAAGTGCAGCAGCAGCCTCAGTGGTCATTCTTTCTGTCCTCAGAGAAGCCCAATGCACACTTTATCCCCAACTCTCCTGCTGAAGTATATCTTTATAGACCACTGTGTCCCCTCTAGCCCCAGAAAGGACTGAGCTAAGAAGAGTGACCACAGCAGAAGGCATGGAAAGAACAATGAGAACAATGGGCATTGTCAGCAAAGCCACTCCAAGGGTTTATCTTGATAGGGACTTTGTCAGTACAAGGTGCTGACAGCCCAGAAAGCGTGAAGAAGAAACTTTTTGACAGGGTGATTGATTTGAAATAAGGATGTTTAACTTGGTGTGAAAGAGATTCCAAAGATGTCTGGCTTATTAGAAACAATATGCTAACCATGATGAATAGGAAAAGAAATTTATTCCCTTCTGTCGCCAACATTCGCTCTCTTTAAATTAGTATTTTTTCCTGGAAAGCCTTGGCTAGGGAGACCCTGTGCCTCTGGGAGACTCTTAATGTCCCTGAATCCATGGAGTCTGGCAAGCAGGGTTTCTGAATCCACACTGGGGTTGGCGGGGGACTAGGCTCTGTGTGGAAGCAAAGGTGGGGGTCACGGTTACTGCTCCAGGCAAACAGGTTTTAGATTTAGCCCTGTCCCAAGCGCTGTGGTTGGTGCCAGCTGTATCTTCTCCCAAACCTCAGATTTCCCTTCTACCTAGATAGCCTACTGGTGTCTGAGAGACATGAGTCCCTTACCTGCTGCAAAGCTGCTCTCATGCGGCTTAGCCATTGATTTGAGCATGCAGCTGGGAGTACTGCCAAGAGGTCAAACAGAGGCCAGGGAACCCAGGACTAGCCCAATTAAGTGACTGGCAGTGAGCAAAGTGACCACAGCACCAGGTCCTTGGGACTCCCTCCCAGACGGGCTTTTTTGGAGCAATGTGACAGCTTTCTTGCTTGTTACTGGGTTTTTCTGTCATTAACAAAACTTCTGGTCTCTGTTGACTTCCAGAAATGGCTTCAGACATACCAGGATCTGTGACCTTGCCTGTTGCCCCCATGGCTGCCACTGGACAGGTGAGGATGGCAGGGGCCATGCCTGCCCGAGGAGGAAAGCGGCGATCCGGGTAAGCAGACCCAGTGTTTCCAGGAACTGGCCTTGGTAAAAGTTGAGCAATGCTTTTGACCTGTTAGCAAAGTATTGTTTTTTTCCCCCCTCCTTGGGAATAAAAGCTCAGCAGTTAGCATCCTGTTTAGATTTTGCAAGAGTCCTAAATATGCACATGATTTGCCTAAGTTTTCTGAGTCCTAGCACCCAGCTGGGAATTTTGTTTGCTTGTCCTTGTAGGGAGGGTGTGCTGAGGGGTCCTGCTGGGCCTTGCTTATGCTAGTTCTCTGAAGGAAGGAGTTAGTCCTCAACTGCTTCAACATTCCAGCCCCAGGAACTGTAAATGATCTAACTGGAGCCCTCCAGCCTTCCCTCCAATGCTCATCTTTCCTAGGAATATGCAGGAATTCTTTTGGCCAAGATCCAGCGCCCAAATGCCAGCTAGATAGATGTGTTGAATATTGCTCAGACAATAAAGAGAATAAGCAGTAAGCTCTGTTGACTCTACTGGTTCTGATGGGTCACAGACCACTTTTGAGCAGATAAAACCAAAACTGGCACCTCTTGTGTTGAATGAAGTTAGCATCTATACCCAGAGCCCAAATCAAACCAACCAAAGGAAAAACAGCTGGTATTTTCCAGATGAGTATATTACTGAACCCCGCTCCCCACTGACCTTTTTTAATTTTCAGTTTAGTAATTAATAAAAAACGCTGTCTCATGATGTTGTTCAGCTTCTGATCACACACTCTGCCCACGATTGCAGCTTTCCATCCCGTGAGGACAGAACACACTTTCCATAGCCCCAAGACTGCAGGCTGGACCCATGTTGAAATGGTCCAGGAGTTTAATTCCAAGAGCCTCTTCCAACCCCTGTGTGCTTAAAAAGGCACAGAGGCAAGGGGGCAAGTGCACACAGGCTCTGGGATAGAGTGGGGACAGGATGAAACAGTATAGTATTATAGTGCCAGCTGATGATGAGGACTGCTGGCGTACTGGGGTCTTTGGGAAAGGGCCTGAGAGGTACATAGTCATTGAGAGTTCAGGGGCTGAGAGTCTGAGTGTGGTGGCAAGGCCAGCCTTGGTCCTGCACACTCTCTGAGGGAGTCAGTGTTCTGTCTGCTGCTGCTGGGTCTCCTCAGAAGTTGCCTGGTAAGGGCTGCTGCTTGCCTCTGGGGTTTTGTGTACAGCTGCCTGCTATCTGAGCCATTGTTCTTACTAACTGTAGACTGAGTTCTGCTGTATAGCTTGATAAAGGAATGTGTACAGTGTTAAAATATAAATTTCTCAATTAAAAAAGTCCAGATTATTTCAAATGTTACTATCTTAACTCACACTATTTAGAGAGAAACTCCATTGCTCCTCCTCATCTTTTTCCAGAAGAGACCACACTAGGCTCTGCAAAGGGCACTTTAGGTTGGTGCAAGTCTAGACTTTCTCCCACCCCATGCTGAAGACCCATGAACCCTCCCTGTGCTGGGGGCGGGGTCTGTGAGCCTCTGTCTCCTTATGGTTTGGGTTGGTGTGCACCCAGCAGATTTCCACCTTGGCCTGCAGGGTCCGAACCAATCCTGGAGTTCAACCCTGCTGCCTGCGTTGCACTTAAGGTGGTCGGTCTCATGTAGGACTTAGTAGCTGCCCTGTGTTGTCATTGCACACACTGCTGTAGTTCCTTCTCCACTGCTTAGACACACCACGGCCAAGGCAACTTAGAGAAGACGGGCCCAGGCATTGCAACTACAGCAGCTGAGAGCTCACATCAGAAACCACAAACAAGAAGCAGAGAGTGAACTGGGAATGACACGTGGCCTTTGAAACCTCAGGGACACATGGCTATACTTCCAAAGCCTCCCCCCAAAGGGCCCCCCAAGGGGCCAAGTATTCAAAGGTGTGAGACTGTGGGAGATATTGACATCTCATTCCAACCAACACACACACACACACACACACACACACACACACACACACACACACACATACACACACACACACCATGGTATCAGAAGCTAGCGAGGGCTCCGGGTAGGCTGACACTTAGGCTTTGGTTCCATTCCACATACAGCTGAGGAAGCGTTCTACTAGGAAAGAAAGCAGAGCTGAAGGTAGGTGGGCAATGGCCACCAACATTCTGCTGCAACATGAGGCAGGGGCTCTCTGAAGGCAGACCAAAGAATTGGACTTTTACCAGAAAACCTGTCCCCCTTGTCATCTTTCTTGGGGTCTGTATGCTGTCTGCCCTTTCTTCCTGCCAGACTGTGGGGAGAAGACCCCATGGCTTAGAGATTCATCTGGGTCTAAGAAGGAGAACCTCCATTTTTAAAGACCTGTTTCCATAGTAACTCTTGCATCTGGGATTTTTTTTTACATCTTTTTACCCTGATGGCGATCCTTTCCATTGTGAGACACAGGCGGAGGCTGTGTGTATCAAAAGGCAGACAGCTCCATCAGGGCCTTGTGCCATGGCTGGCATTGACTGTTGTTTGTTGTCACTGTCACCAGCATGGTGTCTCCAACTGCTCCTTCTGTTAAGATTGTGGGACACCCTTGAAGAGACTCCAAGAGAGGGAGACGGAAGAGAATAGGGTGTCAGGAGAGAGAAAACAGCAGCACTAGTATCCCCACCCCATTCCTTCCCAAGTCTTAGCTGTCTCCCCTGATGGTCACTCTCATGGAGATAAGTGTGCCAAGTGCTGGGACAGCCATCCATTCCTCTCTAGTGCCTCACTGCCTCGTGGAGCTGACCCCTGAGGACTTTGAATCCTCCCGGATGTGTGCCTGGCCTAGTGCTGTTCGTTCTTCCTGCCTGGGCTTTCTTCCCACTTACTGAGAGGCTTAGCAGTGAGAGTCTCAGCAGGGTTCTGCTCTCCGGCTGGCAGCTAGGACACAAGGTGAAGGTTCAGAAGTTTCAGATTCTTTCCAAAGTAGCTCCACATGTGTGGGAGAAAGGAGCTGAAGCAAGTCACCTGACATACATTCTTGTTGTGACCTCTCCAAGCTCAGCAAGGGGTCTGGGAGGCTCCCTCAGGGCGAACTGGCCACTTTTAACCTTAGTGAGGAAGCAGCAGTGATGAGTGAAGCCATACATAAGCTCAGCCTAGCCCAAAGGAGCCATTGGCATGGAGGGTGGAGGCTGCAGACAGGGATGGGCAGGAATGTATTAGCTCCTGCCACTGCTTTGCATCCCAGGGCTGAGCTTCTAAGACACCGTTATTGAGGGAAAATTCCCAGTGCTGGGTAGATTGAGGCAGGAGGCTCCAGAGTTCAAGACCAGCCTGCCAGCCTGGTCTACATAGTGAGACCCCACTAAAAATATTAAAGGAAAGAGAGAGTGGGGGGGAGAGGGGAGAAGGAAGAGGGAGGGAGGGAAGGAGGAAGGGAGGAAGGAGAAAAGAAGGAGAGAGGTTTGTATCTGTAAGTGGATGTTCCTCAAGTTTAAATGTGTAGTTTGACTGTAATACCAACCCGCAGATCCAGGCTCTGAAGGAAGAACGTTTTCAGACACATTGTCACTTTGCTCTGTTCTGGGGACTGGTGGCCCAGGGGCCCAGGATTGCTCCTGCTAGCCACTGTTTGACCAGCTGTACTGGGATGACCTTTGTCTTTGTTTGCCGTAGCAAAAGGGAATGCTGTGTGAAAACACACATTTGATGCTGCACTGCTATTTATAAGGAATCTCTGCTTGGGAGATGCTCGTCATTTCCTTTTCACATAGGTTATGCTCAGAAATGCCTATCGAGGCTGCTTAGTCCAGCTCACTGGCGGGAAAGTGGGGTCAAGTGTGATTTCAGCTCACCTTTGGAAGACTCGACCGCCCATTCTCAGATCACTCTAAAAGCTACTTCGTTTTCTTAGAGTGAATACAATAGGGCTTAAAGTCATATTTTGATTTCTTTTATTATCCAGATGTTTCAGTATAATGAGAAACATAAAAGATATAAAATAAAGGATGATTTATTTACTTACACTTTTCATAGCAGAATAATAGGCACAGCTAATTGTAGTCATATTTAAAGTTGGGCATGGTGGCAGAGACGCGAAGGAGCACCTGGGGCAAGGTTGTTTTGAGGTCTTTTGTTTAGTCAGGAGCAGTGGTGTGTGTGTGTGTGTGTGTGTGTGTGTATGTGTGTGTATGTGCGTGTGTGTACACCCGTGAGCTAGTGAGACTGTGGAATGGTCCTGAAGATCTCAACAATCATGTGGGGGTCCTGGATTATCTAATAGGTCACTTCATGCTTTTCCAAATTACTAAACATAATTGCTGCCAAGTGTGGATCCATGCATGCACGAGTGGCCGGTGCAGTTCCTCTCCATGCTGCATGTGTGTGACTGCATGCACACTCACAGGTGGCAGGTCCAGTTCCTCTACATGCTGCATGTGTGTGACTGCATACACACTCACAGGTGGCAGGTACTGTTTCCATGCTGCATGTGTGTGATTGCATACACACTCACAGGTGGCAGGTGCAGTTTCTTTCCATGCTGCATGTGTGTGATTGCATGCACACTCACAGGTGGTAGGTACTGTTTCTCTCCATGCTGCATGTGTGTGACTGCACATGTGTACAGGTGGTAGGTACTGTTTCTCTCCATGCTGCATATGTGTGATTGCATACACACTCACAGGTGGTAGGTACTGTTCCTCTCCATGCTGCATGTGTGTGATTGCATGCACACTCACAGGTGGCAGGTGCAGTTTCTCTCCATGCTGCATGTGTGTGATTGCATGCACACTCACAGGTGGCAGGTGCAGTTCCTCTCCATGCTGCATGTGTGTGACTGCATACACACTCACAGGTGGCAGGTGCAGTTCCTCTCCATGCTGCATGTGTGTGACTGCATGCACACTCACAGGTGGTAGGTACAGTTTCTCTCCATGCTGCATGTGTGTGACTACATACACACTCACAGGTGGCAGGTGCAGTTCCTCTCTATGCTGCATGTGTGTGACTGCATACACACTCACAGGTGGCAGGTGCAGTTCCTCTCCATGCTGCATGTGTGTGACTGCATACACACTCACAGGTGGCAGGTACTGTTTCTCTCCATGCTGCATGTGTGTGCCTGCACATGTGTACAGGTGGTAGGTACTGTTCCTCTCCATGCTGCATGTGTGTGATTGCACATGTGTACAGGTGGGAGCCATAATTTCTTGGCCTTTAATTTTTATAGACACATCATGACTCCAAGTTCCCAATGGACTCCAATAAACTCTGGATCCACACGAGGCATCCTTTTCTTCTGCCTTCTACCTGACTGGCGTCTCACCTGGCCAAGCTATGTCCCTTAACTACAGAGCTCACATCCCCATTTATCTGCTCCATAGGGGATTGGATAAAGAAAGCTGTGTTTTGTAGGACTTTGATGATCACAATCCTATCAATGGCCCTCAAGATGGCTCAGTGGTAGGCACTTGCTGCCAGATCTGGTGACCTAAGTTTGATAACTGATTCACATGGTAGAAGGCGAGAGAGTCCTCTACCTCCACAGGCAAACACAGAAGTGCAAAAACAAACACACAGAGTTACAGAAAATTTAATATCAAATTGAACTGGATGGAATTTTTTTTATATATTTTATTTTTAAATTTAAATTAGAAACAAGTTTGCTTCACATGTCAATTCCAGGTCTCTCTCCCTTTCCCTCCCCTCCTACCACACCCTCCCACCAACCCCCCCCAATGTCCCCTCATTTCCCCAGGGAGGGTGAGGCCCTCCATGGGGGTGTCCATCGTCTGTCATTTCATCCAGGGCAGGGCCTAGACCCTCCCCAAGAGTCCAGGGTGAAAGTGCATCTCTCATTGTTGGATGGGAGCCCAAAGTCTATTTGTATACCATACCCGGGATAAATACTGATCTACTACCCAAGGCTCAATAGATTACCTAGGCCTCCTCACTGACACCCAGATTCAGGGGGTCTTGATGAGTCCCATGCTGGATTCCCAGGCATCAGTCTGGGATTCAAGAGCTAACCCTTGTCAGGTCAGCTGTTTCTAGGGATTAAACCAGCCCAGTCTTAACCCCTTTGGTCATTAGTCCTCCCTCTCTGTCACTGGATTTCTTGAGTTCAGCTCAGTGCTTAGCCATGGGAGTCTGCCTCTTCTTCCATCAGCCACTGAATGAAGATTCTGTTTCCCAGACTCTCTGGCCATGGGAATGTAGGCTGGGACTCCCCAGCTCTATGTCTAAAATCCATATATGAGGGAGTACATGCCATATTTCTCTTTTTGTGACTGGGTTACCTCACTCAGGATGGTGTCTTCTAGTGCCATCCATTTGCTTGCAAATTTCAGGATTCCATTGTTTTTTTCTGCAGAATAGTACCACATTTTCTCTATCCACTCTTCGGTTGAGGGGCATCTAGGTTGCTTCCAAGTTCTGGCTATTACAAATAATACTGCTATGAACATAGTGGAACAGACATCCTTGTATGAATGGGAATCTTTTGGATATACGCCTAAGAGTGGAGTTGCTGGATCTTGTGGTAGGTTTATTCCCATTTTTCTGAGGAATCGAACTGGATGGAATTTTAAAGATATGTGCATCTCACACCCATTTGAGGTTTTGATAAATCCCAAGTTCTTTGGAATTTATGGTGGGTTTTTATGAAGGAAGAAAGGTTGATCTTTCACTTTATGAGCACTAGGTGGCAGTGTGGTTCTGCAAAATTCAACTGGCCTCAGTTATTTTTATTTATTTTTTTAATGGTTATTTCCCACATGTAATTTCCAGGAAGGTGAAATGATAGCATAGTAATTATACAGGATACTAATGAGTTTTCTTCGTTCAGAATCACCACATCAGCTCCACTTGTCCTGTAGATGGTTCTGCAGTCCAGTGCTGGACTTCCGTAGTGATACTGTGAGGATCGTGCTTGTCTGTTTCCCTGGTGGCCTGCATGTGGTCTTTTACCTGTCTCACTGATTCTTCTTGACCATCTCCCTTTCTCTTTGTACACAGGTATCTCTCTCATCACAACTGCCATTCCCCCCATCCCTTATTCTTAGTATTAGGACAGCTGGCTTTTGAGGATCAGGATCCAAGTGGGTGAAGGGTCCCATCAGGCAATTTCTGGGCAAAACCATGTCAGCTCAGACTGCACTGTGCATAATCCAGGACAAAGACATGCAAAAAATGCTTGTCCTCCGTCCCTCCATCCCTTCACTTTGCCATATCTGACCCTAGTTCCAAGTTATTCCAAAGCCCAGAGGTCACCATACATCTCACTGGGGTTCGTCTTGGGGTATGCGTACAAGAATGACTCTTTACTGTATCATGACTGCTTCCTGGTGACCTAGGTTCCCTGTGCCTTTCTTGGGTCACCCTCCCTATGAGGGTCCAGAAGTTCTGGCCTCTGTAGCTGTGGTCTTCTGGCACACACTCCATTCTTTGTTTATTTTTGGGCAGAATCTCACTGTGTATCCCAGCACACTCCGTTCTCATAATAAGCCGCTAAAACATGGAATTCCTCAGCTGTAGCTTCCAGGCGACTAGCCTCCCTTCTGCTTGGATCACGAGGATATGCCTCACCAAATCCTTCAGGCATACTAAGAACAAGCAGGGCAGTTCAGGACCTGAGATGCCCCACTCAAGAGTCACACTTACTGTAGGTGTCTCATTTTCTTCCTCAGAAACCCTGAGTGTGCTTGATCACAGCTAAGTTCCCCCTCTGCCCTAACGTCTGCCAGACTAGTATTTGCTGACAGTAGAGGAATGTGGAGTTTTGAGAAGGAACATTTGGGATGTTAGTTAAGCAAGAATTCAGCAAGACCTTGTTTGATGTTTCCACGGGGAGGCCCAGTAAGGAAGAGGTCTGAAGAATAGCTCGGTGAGCAAACAGCTGCTTACTTGAGTGACTTTGATATCATATGACCATTTCCTCCTCAACAGCTTCATGTTTGGTCCTGGGCATAACAAAATAGTGGTCTGAAATAACCTTCGCCCTGAGGTTCACAGAGACTCACCAAGTCACAAGCAGTGTTCTTAGACAAGTTCACTGTTCCTTAATATTCCTTCATCACCCTTTGGGCTTCCTGTTTCTCAAATACCTTGAGCAATATACCAGAAATTTTAGAAATGATGTGTTGATATGGAATGCATGTTATGGAGGGGCCCATATACCCCAGAGTCGTTGAGAGACAAGAAACATTGATGTCTTTCCCCCAACATGGACTGAGCCATGCTTTGGTGATCTGAGACATGTTCTAGGGGGACAAGTTGACACTGAGCATTCCCACTTCTGACCAGAAAACTAAAAGTATGCACACTAACAGTATGTATACTGTGTTTTGTGACTCTTTCCTCCCTGAGATTGTAGGGATACTGTCTTAGCACTGCTAAAGGTTGGAAGCATTACATAGCAATGCGATGGGATGAAGGTCCCCTTGCTCCCACAGCTCATGTCATTAATTGCAGTCTCCTGAAAGTTCTAACCAGTGCTCACTTGTGGCTTTGACCTTTCAGAATGGACTTTGACGACGAAGATGGTGAAGGTCCCAGTAAATTTTCAAGGTGAGTTTATTTTACCTTTCTTAAGCCAGTAGCCAGCAGTCACATGACTGGCATGCACAGGCACTCAGTGGGTCTTGTCACTGAGTAAACCATTGCCTATTCTTTGACCATATGCCTTGTTTAGTGCCAGTATTTGGCCTAGTGACAGGCAGTTATTAGTAATCATGATATGTCCCAAGCCAGGTCTGGTGGTACACGCTTAAAATCTCAGCAGGTGGGAGTGTGGGGCAGGCAGATGGCAAATTCAAGGCGAGCCTGAGCTGTAGAGCAATGCCCTGTCTCCAAAAAAGTGTAGCAAAAGGGGAGGGGAGCAAGTAACTAGTTCTTTACCCTGTTTGCTTTTAAGTTAAACAGTGTCCACCAACTTTAATGGACTCCCGTAAAAACAAAATAAAACCTAGGGGTCAAGTTTAGAGAAAATTATCAATATGAATCATGTTTTTTTTTCTACTAAGGAAAATTAGAAGAAATACAAGAAATGTATAGCCTGTTTGGGGTTGATTTCAAGGTCCTCACAATGAAGCTACTGTGTGACAGCCTCTTTAGCTGGCTTTGTGGGGCTGGCTGGGGTGTAGTCTGTCTTGTAGGAAAGCTCCTGCGTCACCAGTACTGGTGGTGTAGGGTGGGCCATGGTTTCTGATTCTTTTGGGCTGTCTTGTTTGAGGTACTGTAGGGCAGTTAGGAGTGTACTGGAGGAAGGTGCCATTCTCCCATCCTACGATACATCCCATGTGTACCATCTTCTTCCTCGATGCCCCATCACTCAGACCTCCTTCTTGCTTATTAGAACTGTGTGACAGGTGAAGGGTGCCTGTCCACTGTGTTCACGCTCCACACGGGGACTGACAGCCTTGCTTGTTTGAAGCAGTTTTGAGAAGTGTGGTGTCCACACAGCCCCGGGGCTGGCTGGCTACTTTTCTCCATGTTTTAGTTCTTTTTGTCCATAACCAACATGTGAACTAAGCAGTGCTCTTTACAAATGCAGGAGGGATCCGTGCCTCATTCTTGTCCAGGGATTCCCAGAATCTTCAAGTCCACAGTAAATATCTCCTCACCCCATGGCTCATCCATCCATTTCCCAGCTTCTTCCTCAACTGAAGCATGAGAGATAAGAACACATGTTTAACCCATTAATGACCTTGAGGTCTCCTCTCAAAACAATATGTGAGCTTCACCAGCAGAACATGGCATCATCTCTTCCTGTGTCAACTGGACCCATTTGAGGTGTCCTGGTTTCTAAAGATGTATCTTAATAGCAAGGAGTGCTCTATTCCTGGAAAGGAGCTAACCTCCCCGTCTCTGCCAGAGCTTGCCCTTGCCACACACAACCTTTCTGTAGAGGGAAACAATGACATTGAGTTCTGTATGTCAAAGTTCCCCTCAAGACCACATACCATAGCACGTTCACCTCAGGAAATAGTGTTGCTGGGTCTCAGGACAATAAAGAGGAAGAGAAGCACGGAGTGACGCTTGCCTGACAGTGCGTGGCAGCGTCAGTGATGAAACAACAGCCGAGGTACACAGAGCTCATTGGGCCTGAGTGTGAGGAGGCAGTGGCCCCATGCTGTGTAACACTCTGAAGTGAGTCACATGTTACACAGTCAACTTCAGACCTTGGCTTCTCTCAACCACATCCTCTCCTCTGTGCCTTAAAAACAAGAGGGAGAGGGAATGTACTTCCAGCATGTGCTGTTACTTCCAGGGCTGGGTTCATAGGACCCCGGAGGCCACTGACTTCAATAGGCCATTTGAAATAATCCACGGCTGATGGACTTGTGGGTACATCTGGGTTGCACAGAGTTGGGGAGACAAGCAAGTCCACTCCCTACATTCCCCTTAACCATCCAGGGGAAGCTTAAATTCTGCTGCCAGTCTTGATAAGGTGCACTCCAAGGCCTCTCCCTTTCCCTGCCCCCATGCTTGCAGTCAGCCCATCGTAACGATCCCAGCGGCCAGGGCCCGAGAAGTATGGGGACTGTGACACAAGCCAGTCCCCATCCTTATTAGTTGATTCATAATCTGGGCAGATGCAGCACCATGATCTCTGTCCCCTGATGCGAGTCTAGTGAGAATTACCAGCGTTTCTCAAGGAATGGAAATAAAGAACTTGCCTTCCTTGCCCAGCACAGCCTAAGGAAGCAGCCTTCACTCGCTGGCACTGGGCTTGACTTCTGTTCCCTCTTGAATTCCATCGTCAACTCACAGTTCCTAACCTCAGACAGGGATGAACTCTCTGACTCTAGAAGACTCTGATCACAAACCAAAGAAAAGCACAAACCTCCCTAAAGGACACCAGGGCCTTTAAAGGTCATCCGTCCTTCAAAGGGTCAGCATCCTGATAGCACAGCCAGTCTATAAGCCTGCATTCAAAGTGATGCCCAGACCTTCTCACGACACTGGCCAACACGGAATGGCATTCTTCTCTAATGTCCCAGGATGTTCCTGTGCTGCAGGGGGCATCAGCTGCCACCAGTTGGAAGTGGCGTCTCGGGTATTGTTTCAGTGTGTAGACAGCTGACATGCCCACGCTATCATCAAAAGTCACAGTCACACATGGTACTCTCCATGTGCCTTATACTTACAGGACCGGATCTTCTCAGACCCCTTCCCCCTGTGACAGGTGAGGCAATGAGAGGTGCTCAGGCTGGGCACATGGCGACAAGGCTCCACTCGGTCAGTCCTGCCTTCGGTGCCTTGGGTTCTGGGGTTCCTACATGTATTCATTGAGGCTTCTGTTTGGGGAGCCCTCTTCACCACATACTTTCACACCGTCCTGTGGGACCTTAGCCTTTAGGTCACAAATGAATGATACGGTGACTGGGTCAGCATCTCCTGGTGGTCAGCGGGAGACTTTGTGAAGTGCCTCCTTGTCTGTGCGTTAATCAGGATTTGTGATGCCCCACTGCTCTGAGTTAACGCAACGCGGGAGGCCCCTTTGCAGCAGAGCTGGAAAAGAAAGCAGGTCAACACACAGGTAGCTGCACCTTCTTCTTTGTCCTTGATTTCCCCACTTGTCCCCTGAGGCAAGGCTTCAGGTTGTCTTGGTCCAACAGAGGTGTTACCTCCTCTTGCTCTGTCTCTCCTACATATATAGAGGCAGATTTCTTTACTACTGCTGCCTGGCTCCCAGAAATTATGGGTGCTCCTAGACACCACAGTCTCAGGCCTAACAGATCCCCTTCCCTTGGGGATAAGATAAGCTTGGGCCAGTAGATAGGGCCTTGGGACGTGCCATTCTCTTTTCACAGGATGCTGCTTTCGCCTCTGTATCCTTAAGGGCTTCAAAAGAAATCATCCACATCACTGCATACCAACTTATTTCTCAGATCTTGTTGCTGGGCAACTGGCAGTTCTCAGTTCTTAACATACTGCTAGTACCTCAGGCTTATCTCATAAAATCTATGATTATTGTATCATTTCCTGCACTGGTCAGTGAATGCAATTTTCAGCTTCCTTTAATTGTTCTCTTCCTTCACTTCAGCCCACGGATTGAATTTATATATGGATCTGTCAAGGAATATCACAAAGACCACTCCCAATGTTTATAGAGAAAATTAGTCCGTGGTAATAAGGTACCACTGGTTGCTACAGACACTACCTGAAAGCTTTGGGCTTAGCTGTAGGTTTGGGGGTCACTCTGAAGGACTTTAAGTGTCAGACTTACATTTAGAGAATTGTCGGTCTGGCTACAGTATAAGGCCTGAGATGGAAGGTAAGGAAAGATGGGAGGAGGCTTAGCCACATGGGGCAGATGGTGTCAGCCACAGTGGGCAGTGAGCACGGGCATGGGGAAGGGAGAAGAGTCGAGAGGTTTTGGCACAGACAGCATAGCCCAGAGATAAGTCAGAGTAGCCACTGTGTTCTGATGATTCAGAGAGGCTCTGGATGACAGGATATGTTCTGGAGTAGAGGGGTTCTCAGGGAGAAGTGTGTGGGGCTGGTGGGATATCCCAGCCATCAGACCGAGAGACTCCAGGTTGATTCCACCCCAGGTGGGGCAGGCAGATTCTCCTTGAGGGTTGCTCTGCACAGAGAGGAAAGCCTGTCTCACATGATCCCCACAGGAACATGCAGGCAGGTGCTGTGATGGGAGCTCTGGGTCCCGCCTGAATCACTTTCCCCGGAAGTGCCTGAACTTCCTATCTGACCTCCTCTTATTCATTAGCCTTTGTACTCTCAGAATACCACCTTCTCTGGGTGGCCCCGGGAAGTGTGAGCCTGCGAGAGGGGTATGCTCCTCCAGGAGGTGCCTTGGGTCTCGAGGACAAATGTCCAGCTGAAGCATGTGGTCTCCACCACATGACCTGCTCTGTTTGTGGAAGGGGAGGAAAGGGACTCTGGTCTCTCCATGGCGAGATTCCAGCTTGTGCTCAAGAGCTAGAAGTCCTCTGACCAAATTCCTGCCTGTGTCACTTTCTCTGGCTTGTAGGCGCCCCACCTCAACCTCTTCTCATCTGCTTGGCCCTGACTTCCCCTCCTTAACCAGCTCTGCCCGTTTCTGCCTGGAGGTGTAGACTTTCCTGACACTGGAGGATCTTTCTGTATACACGAGCATTGGTGCTTCACAGGCTGGTTTAGATCTTTACAGTTAATACCTGTGGGTTGGGGTTGGCCTCAGAAATCTGCTGGCTGGTCTGAACCCGTCTTCCTCCCCTCTCCTACAAGGCTCATCCACCTGTGAACCTTTCTAAAAGGTCAGCTAAAACTGACACTGTGGCACAGTTTCCATTAGATGTCTTCCTGTGGTCTGGCCTGCTCCCCAATCTCCAGGTTCCTCAGCTTCCTCGTGCAGCAGACCTGCCCTTCCTACAGGGATGTCTCTTCCTCTCTCAATGTGGCCTCCTCATCCTAAGCCTCCAGATGGACCCTCTTTCCAAAGCACTCCCCCTCCTCCTGTTGCCACGTATGTCTAACTCTGTCTGCCATCCCTGACCTCTTCCAGCCCCCCCTCCCCACCTTCTGTGTCTTTCTCTCTCCTGCCTTCTTTCTGCCTTCCAAGGCCTTTCAGAGCATGTGATCAGAATCCACCTCTGGGTTCCACAGTGCACCTTCTCACTCAATGCCCTTGCTGCTGGAAGACCATGCTGGGCTTCCTTGTTTTCTCTGTCATCCTCTCTCCACTGGGGACTGGCTTGGGACTCCGTGAATGGAAGTTATGCTCCAGAAGGCTCCCAGCAGGCCACCACAGGGACTGCTGCTGTGTGCACACGCCATGCGCATCTCGGCAAACACAGCACGCACACCATCATACCACCGGACCCGGCTGTCATGCTGTCCCACTTCCTGGAAGGATGGGGTGCGAAGCTGATGAACACATACAGTGTGTGGAGCAGACTTGCCTGGGGATCTTCTCTTCTTGCTGTTAGTGTCACTTTCCTTCCCAGAGAAACCACAAAGTCCTCCGTCCCGTAGCAGCACACATGGGCGTATTTTTAGGCACTGCTCCATCCCAGGGTACAGCTTTTTCTTAAGTGTGTTGAATGGGGCTGGCTGTTACTCTCTTTTGAGCCTAAAGGTAATAAATACTTAGACACAGAAATATTCTTCCGGCCCTCCTGTTAGATTTTCATTTTAAGCATCCCAGGGATGGAGTTAGGTAACTCCTTGCAGTATTTTTTAATTGGTTATTGGTTAATAAAGGGTCGCACCTGTTCTGTTACTATGCTGTGGAAAATGCACTGGATGTAGAACAAACACACGTTCACAGCTTTATATAAAGTAAATCTGCATCATCAGTGGTCTCCTTAGTGACACAAAGTGTAGTAAGGCTTGTGATAGTGTTAGGTACTGCAAGCCCATTGTCAGCTGAGGGTATTGTTAAGGAGAAAGGCATTTGATACAACTCCTGCCAAACATCTCAGCCTGGCCTGGGCTGCCTTCAGCCAGATTAGAACACTTACATCAGCCTGTGGCTGGCGAAGCATTCAACACATCCCTGCTTTGCAGTGGCATGTTGGGGTCTCGTGTGATATATTGAATCTGTGTTGAAAGTGAAAGTAGCATGATTGTGTGGGTATTTGTGATTACTGGGTGTTTTATCTATTTTGAGGACCGGTGCTTACTGAATGGGTTATCACCACCAAAAAATTGCAGGAGCATAAGTTGCAGGCTATTTTCTAGTGTTTCATGCCACGAAGCACATAAATCACATATGCAAGCAGTCAGGAGCGACGTTTGTAGGTGTGAGCCCACACATTGATTTTTAAGATCATGCGTATATACAGAAAGCCTGCTAGGATGCGTTGGCCTTCCATGATCCCTGGCCTTAATTTTTCATGTCTGGGAAAAAATCCATTGATATGTGGGTAATTTAGGAAGAACCAATACATATTTAAAGAAGGAGGTGACAGGGGTCCAAGCCCCGCGCACATAGACAAAGCTTACAGATGTGTCAGGGCTCTCAGCACTCAGTCATTAAGAAGCAAGCTTAGGAGTTTGGCCATCTGATGTTAACAGTGAGTTATTTTATCCCAGTGTCTGCTGACCCCTGGTCTGATCCTTCTCTTTTTCCCTCCCCCTGACCTCTTGCTTTCTGGGAAGAGAGAACCACAGTGAGATTGAGCGGCGCAGGCGAAACAAGATGACTCAATATATTACGGAGCTCTCCGACATGGTTCCCACCTGCAGTGCACTGGCCCGGAAGCCAGACAAGCTCACCATACTGCGAATGGCGGTTTCACACATGAAGTCCATGAGGGGCACCGGAAACAAATCTACTGATGGCGCATACAAGCCTTCCTTCCTCACTGAGCAGGTGCCCCAGTGTTTCTCTTCTGGTGTTGTGGCCAGTGGAAGTAGGAGAGGGTCTTAGCATGTGGGAACATGGAGGTCAGGTTTGGGGAAGGGGTGAAGGCAAGACATTTTGCTTCTATTCTTCAGCAAGAAGTACTCTCTCTTCACGAGTGCTAGATCTCTCCATTTTCTGCTCTTTTATCTCCCATACATCTCAGTGAGGACTGGTTAAAAAACAGTGTGATGAGCATGCTGACACAGGAAGATGGTGCTGATACCATAATTCCTGTATGGAAGGGTAGTGAGAGGATTGTCATGCCATGAGAGTCACAAAAGCAGTCATGGCGATGGCTACAGGGCCAGCACAGCCAGCACTGGCAGGCATTCACGGTCCTGGTGCAAGGCACACCTTTCTGTGCTGTTCATTTAGTTTAGCTAGCAAGACACTAGTCTCCGTCACTGTTTGAGAGGTGAGGAAGTCGAAGCTTGAATTTCGCATGGTCAGTTACTTAGAGAAGGAACCGGAGACTGGTCTATTGAGATTCCCTAAAGTCATGCTTTTATATCAATGCTAACTGGGGAGAAGGAATGCATGAAATAACAAGGCAGCATTAGTAAGTGGATTTACCGGAGCCAGATGGCTTGTGTTGCAAGTCCTTGTCCTCCATGTGGTGGACACAGTGAGCACCAGCTGATGCTTGAAGCTCTAGTTGACTTGTCTAACTAAACACGAAGTTAGGACTTTCTGAGTTCCATAGCACCTGACAGAAACGAGCCGATGGAGTCGGGAGAAAGAGGTGGCATTACATGGTTGTCAGGAGTGTTAATTTGGAAGTGCTAGTGTTCCATGTGTGGAATCTTGAGTAATGGAATGTTTAACAAGACAGAAAGTTAGGCTCGAATGAAATTGAGCACAAGCGACTGGGTTGCACCAGGGGCGGTGCTCAGGCAGAGGCTGTGAAGGAATCACAGAATGGGCGCAAAGGAAGTCAGTATACAGAGGGAGGAGTGGAGAAGGCATGAGGGATCATTGCTCATGCTAGGAACATTAGATCATTAGACTGCCTGTCAATGCTGTGACCACAGGTTTAGAAGAATGAGGGAGATCAACCAATGTCATTTTGCTGTCTGGTGCAGGCTCTTTACCTACACTGATGCCTTTTAAATGTTCCCAACTTGGTCCTTCATGTTGAGGGTCTCAGGAAGAAGGGAGTGGCCAGATTTGGTCTTAGAGATGTAGAGCATGGTGGCCCAAGGTCAGGCTTCCATTCACATTCCCATCTCTATAAAAATGGAAACCATGCTAGGTCCCAACTCTGTGAATGTGGTGAGGAAGGCATCCCTGTGCAGACTGGTTAGCATAGGGATGTTACTATAATGAAAGATGAAGGGTGAGACATGGAAATTATTTTTAAGTACTGCTAACACTGCGGTCAGTATGGAATGCTTTCTCCGAGTTTATTTAATCCTTACAAAAAGGACTCTAAGCAACTACGGGAGGTGGCAGAGAGACGGCAAGTACACATCCTCGAGCCCTATCGCGCCATTCTCTCCATCACATGCGCATTTACAGAGCCCTGTAAACACTTACTGTGTGGCAAGCACCTACTAAGCCCTGCACACCAGAAGCTCATTTAACCTCCAAAAATTTCACTGAAAGTAAACTTTATGAAATATCAGAAGCCAAAGCCACTAAATATCATGCCAGAGTTGTAAAGCTGAGTGGAAGGACATGGAATGGAAGCTTTCTTAACTTCCAAAGCCATACTGTCTGAATGGAGAAAGGAGGAGAAGCCAGTTATGAGTAACGAGCTCTCAGATGATGAACCTCAGGAGAGAGGATGGGGAGAGGGGGTGGGGGTGTCTCCATCCTACCGGATCTCGCAGCCCTTGTAAATTGGGTTAGAACATGCATGCACAAACAAAGCCACACAACCTCTTCCGGTGACATAGAATTCTCTCCCTCCCCAGACATCTTATCCCATTTTTTTAAAAGAGGACCTTCCTGTTGGGAAGATTTTCCTGATGCTGAGAAGGAAAATGCTGATGCTCTTAGAACTGCAGAAGCATCAAAGAAGAGACACAGGAAGCAGAAGTGACATGGGAAATTGACAGAGTAAACTTTTGGTTGAAACATGCTTGCACGGTCAGCATCCACCTTCGTTTCCCAGGCTGAATGCGTTTGAATTGTTCCCCAGGCAGTGCCTGCACACAAGCCACAAAATTCCTAGGCTGTGCCCCCAGAAGTTAAGGTCTTCTAGGGAGTTGGGTCACTAGGAGGTCACTCTGACCAAATGCTTCGTACTCTCTCCTTCGCTCCCTCTCAGCTGTCCCTGACTGTTGGGTGGGATTGTCTTTGAGCTTTTGAGTCTGGAGTGGGGAAAATGCTTGCTTACTGCTGATGCCAAAGAACGATTTTGTTCTTTGGGGCCCAGACATAGTGTGAGAAGGTGGGGGTGGTGGCTTCAGTCTCTAGTGTTTGTGGAAGCATACGCTCCACACCTCCTGCAAGCTGGGAGCCCAGGCATTTTATTCAGCTTGATGTGCCAGGATATACATAGTTACCATTGATCTGCCTTTAGGCATGGTTATCTCAGTTTAGCAAAATTGATTGTGACCCCCTGGGATGATGATAGGGCTTCAAGAATGAGAGGAACAAGAGTACAAAGTCCCCACACAGTGGGAAGACTGACAGTCTGCTTCTTTTTCTCTTCTCTCCTCACTCTCCTTCCTGCCTGCCACACAGGACCCCTTGTGACGCATTGGGTGCTGGGCCCTACTGCAGCGTCACAAAACTGGCAACTCAGCACCCCCTGATCACTGTCACCTGCTCCCTCATTTCTCCACACTGGGAATCTCCCCCATTCATGCCCTCAAAGAAAAGACAGTGCATTTTAGGGATGATGCAAGCTTTGTGTATTTCTCCAGAAAATAAGCTAACCAGGTGAAACGACATTCATCAACACAACCATTTGTACACCACAATGAGCAGCTACCTGAAGGAAGTTGAGGTTGCTAATTGAGAGAAGATAATGGATCCGGATCTGTTAGTACACTTGCTGACCATGGTCTTTTCTCCCCAGGAGCTGAAACATCTCATCCTTGAAGCCGCTGATGGATTTCTGTTTGTGGTAGCAGCAGAGACAGGAAGAGTAATCTATGTGTCTGATTCGGTCACTCCTGTTTTGAACCAGCCACAGTCAGAGTGGTTTGGGAGCACTCTCTACGAACAGGTACACCCAGATGACGTGGAGAAGCTGAGAGAGCAGCTGTGCACTTCGGAAAACTCTATGACAGGTGAGCAAGTGTAGCTTTTGTGTGGGTATGGCCATTTGACCTTAAACATTGTTCATCCTGTAAATACATTAGGAAGCTGGAAGTCATAAAATATCCTAAAGGTGAGGTGACACATTTTATTTAGTTTGTGTAAGGGCTTCATTCACAATATCTTAAAATTTTTAGAGTCACTTCCTCGCCCCTGGAATTTTTCCTGTAATTAGTGCATATGGCCAGTAGGAGGTGTTCTTGCTGCCCATATAGTCTCTACCTATTAATATGATGCCCATCACTTACACCCCAGGCCTTAACCACTTGAAAGACAGCTCCTTACTGAAATAGTTAAGTAAGTCAGTTCTGCCATAACATAACAGACTCTATTTCAAAATCACCTCTTTATACAAACACATGCAATGAGATCTGTAAAATTCACTGGGGGAAGTGGGTTGGAAGTAAAACACTCCATAGAAGATAAAAGTAAAAGAATATACTGAAAATGCCAGCATGGCTTTAGTTAAGAAACGGGAATTCATAAATATTAATAAGCACGGTGCATGGCCGGGAAAATGGCTTTTGGTTGGGGCAACAGGTCTTAGGAGATGTTGTCACTTGTGTGTCCTCTCAGAGTAGAAAGGACTGGCATGGCCACAAGGGTTCCAGCCTCCTGACATAATACTCCTATCACTTTGGGGATTAGGATGTCAACCTGCAAAGTTGCAGGCATGTGCTCAGTTCATTTCATCCAGGTCATGGTGTCAGCAGGTTTGTGCCCCTTGAGACCTCCTTAGTTTCCAGGTGCTTCCCCCTGTGTGTGTGTGTGTGTGTGTGTGTGTGTGTGTGTGTGTGTGTGTGTGTATGTGTGTGTGTGTGTGTGTGTGTGTGTGTGTGCATTCCTGATACTTCCCCTACTCTTGAAGGACACCAGTCATGTAAGTCGGATTTACCTTAATTACCCCTTTAAAGGCCCTGTTCCTAAAGCAGTCATATTCTGAGGTTCTGGGAGTTAAGTATTCAACCTATGAATTTATGAGGGAGGGTCTAAATTCTACCCATAGTACTTAGAATCAAATCCAGTCTGGTGGTGTCCACACTGGCAGAGGTTGAGCTGTTTCGGAGGGACAGTAGTGTTTTCTCAGTACTGGTGATCGGCGCATAGTGATCTAGTGTGGGGACAGTGTTTGTGTCTTGGCCATCTTTGCATGTCTGTGAAAGAACAATGCTAGCTCAGACTCAGAAAGACACCTTGCTCCCTCACTGGGCCCAAGTCTTACAACGTGGCAGTATATAAAGCTCAACACTTGGGAACTGTAAGAGAGAAAAGACATCAGCCAGGAAGTGTTGGTTTTAAAGCTGAAGTCACCTTCTCTGGAAAGAGTTGGGGTTTTTCCCCAAGTTTTCTGTGTTTGGCCACAGGATGTGGCTTCTTCAAATCCTTCAGGAGACCCAGCTGGGGAAGATGACAGGGGAAGTGGTGGCCAAGGGCAGGGCAGGTTCAGGTCAAGGGTGTTGCTAACTGGCTCATCAGAGGCTCATGGACATTTCTGTGTGAAATCTTCATCCATCTGGATGAGTAGAAATGGCTTTGGGGGAGTGCAGGCAGAGCTGGTACAATGCAGGTAGTCCCCGAAGATTTCAGAGGACTCCCAGGGAGCTGCGGACAGTCAGAGATCTGAGCTCTCTTTCTGGCCAGAGTCCTCTTGAAAAGAACATGGGGTTGGAGACTTGGGCCCTGATGCTTAGGATGTAGAGGCACAGGAGTTTTTTCTTAGAGTCACGTACTGAAATGGATTCTTCCAGGATACACGCAAGACTGTTGATCTGGGGGAGTAGCTTGAAAGAGTTCCTTGCAGCAGGGCTGCATGCTGGCGGGCATGGGGTTCACTGTGCCCAGGACAGGCTAGAGGTTGATTATTGAACATCCAAAGTGTACATTTAATATAAATTTTTGTTAGAAACTCTTAAGGGTTTCTTTATGCCTTTGATTATTGGACAAGGGTCTCAAATCCTTCTGTCCCTGAACCTCTGTGGTTTGAAGTCAGAAATAAGTAAATATGGCCACTTGGAGGAATCAAGGTGATGATTGCAGGGTCAGGGAGCTGGGCACGGCCTTCTGGGATAGAGGTGGCTTACCTAGAACAGGCAAACCCCTCCACTAAGGGGGTCTCCCTCCTCTGACCCTCTCTCCTAGAAAAAGGATGTCCCAGTCATTGGACTTGTAGCACTATCTGTACTGAAAGTAGGCTCGGGGAGGGGATGTTCTGTGTGTGCACAATGAGAGAAGGGACAAAGAGGGAGGGGAGCCAGAGCAGGGTATGCAGCCTGCCCTGCTACTGCAGGGACCTAGGCAGTGATGCCTAGAGATGTGGTATCAAGAAGGGATGGTGAGGCTCTTTGTTGAGCTAAGTCTTTCCATAGCTGGTCAGGTGTAACCAAGGGTGGTAGGAAGATACTGGAAGCACAGCAGGGGTGTGGACCACTACAGTGGTTTGTTTTTCTGTGAATGAGTGCTGGACTCTAATTACTGACAAACAGTGCTGCCCTCAGCCAGCAACAGCACTGTTGAACATAGACACAGTCACTGATAGGGAGCTGGGAGACTCATTTTCACTCTGGTCTTTACTTAGTGACCTTGGGAAGTTCCTTTCTTCTTTGTTCTTTGTTCTTCTTATCCCAGCACAGAAGATTCCCAAGGCTCCTTCCAGCTCTGATTTTATTCTTTCTTCTAAGGTTTCCAAATAGGATCTAATCCATTGGTTAGAAACTTGTAGGAGGAGAGGGGCTAAAACCTGGAGCAGTAGCAAGGCAGGCCAGTGCTGTGGTGAAGTAGTGTCACTACCGTTCCGGAAGGTAGCAGTGGCCTTGTGAAGGAAGTAGGGGTGTGTCCAATAACCTGTATCCAGGCACAGGGTCGAAGGCTCTGAGAGCGGTGTTCATCAGCTGGCTATATATACTGAATGCTGATGTGTTTTTAAATAGACCTCCTCATAAACCAGGTTCTGTACTGACTGCTTGACAAAAACATGAATTGGGGTTTGCAGGAGCCTAACCCTGAACTTCCCTTAGGAGCAATGGTTCAGTGCTTATTCATCTACTGTCCATAGTAGCTTTATGAAGCATAACTATCAGATAACGTGAATTCATCCTTAGTCTTTTTCCCCAGCACCTTTTCTTTGTTTCATGTGGGGCTTTCAAGTGACATCACACTTTTATGTGCAGCTCTGGGCTTGGAGCCTCTGGCTGTGCAGTACCTAACATGCACAATGATTTCTGCCCAAGCCCCTGTGTGTATTCTAGGCTTGCCTTGCTTAGCCTGTTTATATCCCTCTGCTCTGTCCTGCCCTGATCGGTCCCTCAGAGCCCGGCTTCGAGGTTAGCCTCTCCATCCACTTGGACTCATGTGTTGAAGTGACTCTTCGGAGGAAGGAGGGATACTGAGCAATGAGTGGTGTTTAAAGTGATCCTGATGGGAGACGGAGTGTTGTCCAGAACAAAGAATGCCTTGTGGGGAAGGGGGCTGCAGAAATAACCACTTCCGATTCCAGTGATCTGAGTAGTCACTCTCAGTGGGGATGGGGATGGGGTTGGGGGGAGCGTGGAAAGGCCCGGGGCGTTCCAGGTGACAACAGACATCTCACTTAACTGGATATAGCCAAGCACCAGGTTCAGAAAGCAAAGGGGTGCAGCAGAGACCCCCTGGAAACGCGGAGGGAGCCAGTCCTCAGTGTCTTGGTGGTTGAACTCTGGTAAACCTTGATCCTGGTGAGTGGAGACAAGCGGTGCTTTGCCGGTGACCCCAGCCCCTCACTGGGAGGAATGTCTTCGGTCCTCCAGCCTGAAAGATGATGTGGGAGAGGTTAATCTGTGGGCATTCCAAGAGGAAATTCATTTGTGCTTAGAGATCTGCAGGGTTCTCCTGCATTCAGGTAATTGGGTTAGCATTCGGGGTCAGTATAGGGAGTAACTTTGAAAAAGACTGCCCAGTAGTAGAAGTGGGTACAAAGAGAAATGAACTTCCTGCTTCCTTCTTCTCTTCCTCTGCCCTCCGTTCCTCTACCCCCCTTTCTTTTTCAATGACCATTTATTCATTAATTCATGAACACCTATCTTGTCCAGCTGTGGACAGGTCACATGGGATGCATTCTCTCCAGCTCCTCACCTGTAGACACTCCAAGCTTCTGTTTATGAATCAACCCCCATTTCCCAACTGTCGCAGCCTGGATTCTTTGTGTTAATTTGGGGAGAACCCAAGCTGGGTTGGTCCCCAAGGCTTCAGCTGGAAAGCCCCAGTGCATGAGTCAGTCCCCCCAATCAGCTGTGATTAAGCTTTCCTATCTCCCTTTGAGCTTTGCTGAAGTCCAAGGATGCTTTGAATCTTGGATCACAGCATTTGGCCAGGCTCCGGTCTGGGCACCGATAGCTGCTCCGAGAGCCTGTCACCAGGGAGCCATTTTCAGCCAGCTGTGCTCACAGCCTCTCATCAGGCATTTTCCATGAGAGCTTCAAGATGCCATATACACTCAAGAGTCTCCCACACTTGTGGGACTCTGGGTGCTTGTGACTTTCATTTTCTCATTCAACCCTAACAGTGAAATATTAATACCTATAATTAATCCACTTACATTTCCAAGACACTCTTTACCCTCTGTAGAGAATAATCACACACTGCACATTAGCTTCAGAGAACTGGCAGATATATTCGCCTGGGATTTGGCGAAGGGGCCTGGACCAGGTGATGACTCTGAGGCACCAAGGAGAGATGAGAGGCTTAGATTTTCTGGCCTTCTCTGCCTCATTGCAGTCTTGAGCATAGGGACTGATGCCAGTATCCCTGCAGCATCAGCAGGGAGACCAGCACAGTAGTTCACTCTGGGCTGGTCATGGTAGCATTGAAGGCTCAGGGGCACATGAGAAAAACATAGTGTCAGAATTGTGGGACCAAAACAGACAGTTCAGGTGTCTCATCACCTTGTTCAAAGTGGTTCTCATCTCCAGTAATGGTTCTCATCTGTCAGCTCTGTGAA